TAAGGTGCTGTGAAAGGCACTTGGAACGTGTAAACATGTTATGTTTAAAAGTATACCATACATGTTTTGGAACTTCATTTTCTATATGTTTCTCCACTTCTGCAAAAGTGTTTTGCAATGTGGTGAAAATAACAGTGAAAACAATTGAAAACCACTGATATAGAGTATATCACATACTTTAAGAGTACACGACACATTTTCCCTTGTCATGTGGCTTAACATTCTAACAATCAGTGAAGATTGCTAAAAATCAGAACCCCGCGACAGTTTTTCTTACTTTGTGTTTGGACTTGCGTTTCTTCTTTATGCGCCTCTTCTCCCGCTCACGTTCCCGCTCCTTCTTCCTCTTCCGTTTGCGCCGGTGCGAGCGCTCCTCATCTGAATTGCTGCTAGCGTGGCGCTCCCGGCTTCGTGGGGGACGCTCGCCGCCGCCACCACCGGCGTCCCCTGCCGCGCTGCCATCACCGCCGCCTGCTTCCTCGCCCATCTCTGCAACTCCTCCTCCACCACCAGATGCGTCGCCTCCCATCTCCGCCTCGCCCCCATCATCTTCAAGCTCGCCCTCCTCCAGTTCGCCATCCTCTGGCCTATGTGCACACAACATAGAGAAGTGTTATCGGAATTATATTGACTTTTCACTCAGTGTTTTATATTAAAAATATCTTGCAGAGTAATCCATGTCCATTAAATGGAGCAGCGATTTCCAACCAGTGTGCTGTGGCATATTTCTGAACTGTGCGAGAGCTTCAGATGTGACAAGGAAAATGATCCATTTTGGCCTGAAAATTATTTATTTAGGATGCATCTCTATATATATATCTATGCCAACTATGTATAGTGACAAGTCAAATAATTAAATGCTCTTCCACAAGATGAAAGAAGTTACAAACATTAACCTGCATACCAACTTATTGCGTCCTTTTTGTTGGTGGTGTGCCATGGGATTTTTTTGCTAAAATAAAATGTGTCATTGGCAAAGACATTTGGAGAAACATAATTTACAGCAGTTTTCCCCAACCCCTATTGAACCAAGACACCAATTTTACATTACAAAATATCATGGCACGCCACCATCAAACAAAAATGTCACCAAATGTATCAATATTTAAATAAATATTATCTTGTGTCAATTCACTCATAAATATACTCACCGAGTGTGAAATCTGGGCTTGTTTAATTGACCACAAAACTGATATACTTGCAGGAAGCCATGGCTTATTCTGCTGAATGAACGGCAACGGGTGGATTCACAGATTTAAAATATTCAATGAATCTTTCACAAGTTTTTGAAGGGAAAAAATAGATGAACAAATCCTGAATTCAACAGTGGGTTGGGGGGGGGGGGGACCTTTTCTTAGCACTTTTCATAGAGTCCTGCAAGTGCTACAGGTATACTATACGTACCAGAAAATACGACAAAGAAATGTTGGATCACATATTATGAGATTTTGTGGGGGGTTGGGGCTTTTTGTAACAGTCCTACTAATGTTTAATTTATAGGATTTCATGGCGCACTACATCAACGTTGTCATCAGATGGTTTTGGCCTACGCACTGAAGGGTGCCTACATTCACACTGTGAATGGCTCAGGTAACAACATCTAGTTGGTAACCGCTACAGAAATAACAATAGGGGCTATTATGCATGATTTAAATGCATATAATATGCATGAGAGCATTATTTGAATAGGACATGTTTGACCCCCACAACCCTAACAGTGATGCCACATTTAAGGGACAATGATAGACCCCCCACAAGTGTTATTAATATGGACCACATGATATCGCTTGACCACCGGTTCGGGCCTGGGTTACAAGGGGGGGGGGCATATAAATGACTAATTAACAATTAAGCACAGCAGTCACAATTATTAACACAGCTACAAACAAAAAAATATGAAACTTTCCCCATATTTAACTGAAAACATTGAAGTTTTTGCTGGATGGTAATGTGTCACAACACAAAATAAAGAGCTCATTCCACACTGGATGTAAAAGACAACATTTTTCAGCCAGAATGGTGACACAAGAATATCAATGAAAGCAACTGTCACCAGTTGGTGCTAACACCATTTATTTATCTGACTGTACAGTGCAACTTTTACCATACAAATAGCCCCATCCAACAATTCTGATTGAATGCTTGGCTGAGTCTTTTTGTAGATAGTGTGACGATGGTCTGAATCCAGTTTGGCCAACAACAACAACTTAATAGTCAACTTTTCAGAGGCAATTATTTATCCTGAAGTTCAAGGATTCTGACTCCATTATGAAGAAACGTTGGCATTAACTCACTCTGGACACTTGTGTGACCGCTCGCACCCACGTACAAACACATCCTAACCAGGTTATTCTGCACCCTGCCAGAAGACCGAGTTCAATACATCAAACACACAGCTAGATAAAAAAGGTTCTGATTGCATCTCTGGGGATAAGCAATGACAAAGAACATGGTATTTCTCCATTATGTCTGATTACCAATCCGCAACACAACCTCACCGAGCTCATAAGTCAACAAAGCACAAGATTAATCTCAATGCAAAATGCATGTTTTAAGAGATATTATAATTAGAGAAGGGCCATGATAAAAAGGGGGGGATACTTACTGTGACAGGCCTTCTTCATATTTTGCAATCACAACCATTAAAAAGTCCTCCCCCTAACACTTCAGGGTCACTGGTGGGATTTGTGGGGGCTGGAAATTCAATTTACTAAAACATTCAACCAATTTGCCAACTAGGAACTGGGTGATTACATTACAAACTGATTCTTGTGTTTGACTTCTGGGATGCTTTGCAGACATTTTACACACAGCGTTGGTACATAGTTTTGAACATGTAAGAGAAACAGCACAATCTCAGGGTGGGGAAAGAATGAAACAAAAAGCTGTTTGACAGCTACTGTGCCCTTTAAATTAATGTTAAAGGTTACATGGTCGGAGGAATCCAATCCTGTAAAATAATGTTCGCAGGTTAAAAGTGTAACCAATAGGTAGCAGTGGGAGATTAGGTGAATTAAGTTGTTAATAGGGGTTCTTGATCTATAATTTACATTAAGACGTTTGTGTCGTGTGAGGTTAGTAGTTGTTTAAAGAACTTTGAATACACGTGGGTAACGTTGACAGTGTTGCTTGGTATATGACGCGAGGACCAACGAGAAGAAAACGTAACGATATTAATGGTGATTAAAAAACAACTTTTACGGCGAGCCGTTACGAAGCTAATGTGGCTAGGCTCATGCCGGAATGGGCACACCTTAAATCCACAAGTTTTATTTTCGACGACAAAATAAAAATGTAAATTTGTTATCTACGGACACTTAGTTTGAACAATTGGTTATTTAGTTTACGGCAAATGGGCGATGGTTTTGCATTCGTCGAGGTGGTCGACGGACGTGCCAAAGAAAAGTATGTTCAGGAGCGACGGCCTGCTCTTTTTGCTCGTCATATCAGTTCGCGTCGAGCCGGTTCTCCGTCGAGGTGAGATAACGTAATAAAATAAAGGGAAAACGTTATCTCCGACGTTATTTTGGACTCCCAGTTGGCGCCGTCGTGTCAATGCACAAGTCCGTTACAGCTTTACCCGTTTTCCAGAAAAGGCGAGTTTAATCCCTCTTTGAAAAGAAAAAAGAAAAAATGGTATCCCCGGGCTTTTTGTGTAAAAAAAAAGCAGAGGACAAATAAATAGTTTCATTGAAATATGATTGTAGAATTACTCGACCTTTCGTCAGTCAGGAGACTGTTGTGTTCGTGGTTGGTTGTTGGGGAGTTTGGATGGACAGTCATGCTTTCCACAGCCATTTCCTCTCTCTAACCCTTAGCTAACATGGAGGTACCCAAAAATGCAACCTCTCGACACTGGAAATCTACTGGCTTATGCGTCACTTCACAAGGATCTACTTGGTTTTGGAATTAGTTGAGTTTCAGTTCATAGGCAGTAGGCAATTCTCCACTACAGTTGTAAGAGAAATTTGATGAAATTGAGTCCAGAGTTCTCTTTCCGTCCTACTGAAGCGCTGTGAAATGACGACTGATGCGCCTAAAATGGCCGACCGTCTTCTTCAGAGACAAACGGGGCGGACTTTCCTTGGCGTGATGTCACTGACTCGACGTCCTTAAAATGCGTCTCACGGACACCATCGAATTGTTTGGACCGAAAATGAGCCCTTCATTTTGACTAGTAGACCTTTGCTTGTACAGTGTTTCATTGTATGTTTTAAAACGGTAAATTTTACATGTATTTATTAATTCAGCGATTCTTTCGCGGACTACAATTGCTCCTCGTGCAACACTTCGAGAGTCACTGCACTAGCCTATCAATGTCTATCAAGGAAGGATGGTTATGATGGTTTTACTATAATTTCACCACCAATGTGCTTTATAGAGTGGAGTTCAATTAAACTCGTCTCGTTATATACCCAGCCTGTAAATATCCTCATCACGTGTTATTTGCTCCATAAAAAATAAAAAAAATCCGAAATATGTTTATTTTACTACATCTTGTGAGCTTTTTATCCAGTAATGTAAAGGCACAAAAATGGAGATGTCTATCATCTTTGGTTCTACTTAGGACTTTTTTTCTCCCTCACCCCTCTTCTTTTTAAGCAGCGTTGTGATATGATGCACATCATACTCGAAACATTCAAGACATGATATGGTTCTCTTCCTTTCAAATAATGGTCCCAGTCTTTGTCTTTATGCAAAGCCTTGTAAACATTATTATTTGAGTAGTAGCTTATCAACATTTTAGGTGTTAATTTATGAATTTATAGTATCGAATTTATATCGTTCTGAAGAAACACTTAAAATGGTCGTAAGTCTAACCTGAGGGCAAATTCCATGAAACGATCATGAGTTAACTTACAATTTAATGTATGAGTAAAGATGAATAATTGATTGGGGTGAATTACGTTAACCATTACATCAATGTAAAAATAACGTTATTCGAAATAACAAAAACAAAACACAAAAAAACATCATGACGAAAAGACGTAATTTGTTACAATGGCGTCATCAAACAGCGACCCTTCAGCGGGACTATCGCGGCTTTTGAAACAATCGGTGGTGTCGCTTCATTGAACAGTCACTTTTGAAGCTGTTTCTCCTTCCCCCCCAAGAAGTTTAACATGATCGATATGATCGAAAAGGAGGACCCGGTCATCACCGAGGAAGAGGCGGCTCAGTACGACCGCCAGATCCGGCTTTGGGGCTTGGATGCCCAGAAGAGGCAAGTTAGCCTGCCATGCTAAAACTATTCGTGCCAGTGTTGCCATAATTTGGCACATTATTGTACATTTAAACGATTGAATATACAATTGATGTCATCAATGTGCACTTTGCTTGCAGACTGCGTGGCTCCCGGGTTCTTCTGGCAGGTTTGGGTGGCCTGGGGGCTGAGGTGGCCAAGAATTTAATCTTGGCTGGAGTGAAAGGACTCACCTTACTGGATCATGAGAAGGTAAACTGCCAGAATCTAACGAATATATCACATCATTTTGAACTTTGATAGTATTTTAATGAACATAGTCCACGTAAACATTGGCAATTATGTATGTATCGTAACGGCCTGGTTTGTGTTTAAAGGACGTTAACCGTTGCCGATGCTCTGCAAGTGGCCTTATTCCCACAAGCTGTAACAGAATGCTCATCCATTCAGTAGCTGCTATCGGCCACAGCTCACGCCCAGTCACCCAACTCACTGACTTATTTTTATACTTTTATAACAAATAGTTAAGAATGTTAAAATGTTTCTAAATCACTGTACTGTTAATGTTTATCGTTGTTGCGATGAGAGACATTTCTATGTATCGTATGGGATAATAGTTTTGAAAGGAGAAAAAAAAGGAAAGTCAACAGTCAACAAGCTTGCATAAATAAATGCTACTGTTGTTCCCAGTGGTTATATTTGATGTGTTTGTCTCACCAGGTGACAGAGGAGTCGTGTCGCGCTCAGTTCCTGGTTCCGGTGACCGAGCACGGCCGGAATCGAGCCCGGGCGTCCCTGGAGCGTGCACAGAACCTCAACCCCATGGTGGAGGTGCTCGCCGACACGGACAGAATAGAAGACAAACCCGACACTTTCTTCTTGCAGTTCAATGCAGTGAGTGCGCATTATGTACCGGTAGTTGGGTTTCCAGTAAAACAGCTTAAATCAAATCTACTGGTTGGATGGATAGTAGTTTTGAGTTCTAGCAAAATGCGGCATCTTTTTTTTTCCTGAAACAAATACATGTTCTTTTAAACCCCAGATGGACACTGATAATTTTGTTGAACGACATTCATGCTACCTGTCAACCAATAATTGCATCATTATTTGGGATGTTGCTAAGACAACATTGATTACAAGAAGAATTGGTGCTGTTGGCAGTGCAACTACCAAACTTCTTTTTTTGAATGCAGGTTTGTCTCACTGGCTGCTCCAAAGATGTAATGGTGCGCATCGACCAGCTGTGCTCGCAGCACAACATTCTGGTCTTCTGCGGAGATGTCCATGGTTACTACGGTTACATGTTCTGCAACCTAGGGCCTGAACACAACTACGTGGAGTGAGTTTGAACATGAAATCCGTCAAGCCAGGTTCACTCGGCTATAGGCTTCGCTTTGTTGTTCAGGGAGAAACCCAAAGTGGTGAAGAAGTCCTCAGGAGACTCAAATGACGGTCCTGACGCCAAGAAGGTCAAAGTGGACCTCAATGAGACCACTATGGTGAAAAAGGTTAGAGCAAACCACCTTTTTTTTTTTAAACATTTCATCGATTCCCCCCCCATTTGTAAACACATAAATGACATTAATCCAACTTGTTTTAATCACAAAAATATAACCTTAGTCTGACTTTGTTTTAAATGTAAAAAAAAAAAAAAATCAGCCCCTCTAATTATTTTTGCTGAACAAAGCTATTCCACTAATGTTTTCAAACTTATCTTTTACATTCATCACTTTGTCGGGGGCTTATAGACATAAATGTTCTCATACAAAAGTCTTCTATTACTTCTGTCAAAACTGAAAAATACTGTTAATCTTAAAAAAAAAAAAGTGTTTTTGCAGTGAAACCAACATTTTCTGCTAACCTTAAAAACATTACTTTAACCGGTAGAATGTTCATGTTAAACTGTACAAACTTATGTTGGATTCATTTGTTTTGCTAATGTATTGAGTTTGAATGAATTAACAAGTGTCTGATATGATGACGTGTCGTTTCAACCAGACATCCAAGTTCTGCAGGCTGAAGGAGGCTCTGGAGGTGGACTGGACCAGCGACAAGGCCAAAGCCGCCCTCAAGCGCACGCCCGTCGACTACTTCCTGCTTCACGGTACTCACCTTTCAGTGTTTTATGATGGGATAAGTGACACAAGACATCAGAGGACATTTGTGTTTTGAAAAGTTTGACTATTCGCCGCATGTAAATATTTCATTGAAATTACAATCAACGGTCCCTAGTGCTGCTGAAGTTCCGCACGGACAAGGGCCGAGATCCCGACCCACAATGCTTTGCAGAGGACAGCCAGTTGCTGAGCCAGATCCGCCAGGATGTCCTGGACACTTTGGGGGTGGCCAGCGAGGTACTCAACGATGACTTTATCAGGTAAGGTTCTGAGTGATGAGGCAGAGGCTGCATCCTGTTCGTTAGTACCCACCGTATACTGGTGTGTCCTCCTCAGTTTCTGCTTCTCAGAGATGTCACCAGTGTGCGCAGTTGTGGGAGGAGTACTTGGACAAGAAATTGTCAAGGTAAGCACGCGTGCACGCATATGTACGCACAGATCTGGTATTTAATGCGAAACTAACCGTAACCCCAGACCCTAAATCTACACTGACATCCTAAACAAGCCCGAGTCCCAAACAAACCTCAACCACCCCAAATCCTAAATTAACACTACCCACTAAGATAACCCCAGACTGGCCCAAACCACTCAACATGTTTGTTGTTGTTGTCCAGGCTCTGTCCCAGAGAGACGCTCCACATCGCAATTTCTTTTTCTTCGATGGTCGAAAAGGAAACGGCATGGTGGACTATTTTGGACCAAACTGAGTGTGTGCAGACAGCTCGCTCTACCATCTATCCATCTCACATCCAATAGCATTTGTTTATTTATGGCATCGCTCACCATTTTCATGACTTTTGACATGTTCTTACATTTGGTAATAAAGAATGCTTCAGAAAAGCATCATTCCTGTCTCTGTATTTCCGTATTTGTTGAAATGATTGTGAAAATACTTTGCTTGATCGGTTAGTTACTTAATTAGCAGGACCAGTGGAAAGCTACTTAAACAATTTTTTTAAAATGCGAGAAACGGAGGGTTTCAGTTACATCTCTTGCTTTTTTTTTATTTTGATGAAAACCACAGATACCTATGGGTGAAAAACAAGCACTTTATGGAACTTTGTCTTTTAATATCACTCAGTTTCAAAACCTTTTGAAGGGAGTGTCATAAAACAAACAAAAACCAAGACTTTGTGCAATTAATTTTATTATATTAAGAAGTAAAAAAGCAGTCTGCATCTCAGTAAATTAGAATACTGTGAATCCCCGCATACTCAGTACTGCAATCTGTTTTTTTTTCAGTGAATCCTCTATTATTCGCTGAAAAACTCACCTATTTGCTTTTTTTGTGTGTGAAGACCAAAGCTATAGACACTATAATGAAAATGTGTTGCTTTACCACCATCTTGTGGCATTATTAGGCAGAAAAACCTTTTTGAGTGGGCAGGACTTAGCTCCTATCCCTGTGCACGGGGGGACTGCATTGTATGGCAGAAAACTTAAATAGTTCAATTCAAAAAGGGGAAGTCATATACAGTACATTACACTGTCACGGAATCATTTCTATATTTTCTCATCCATTTTCTATAGCAATTATCAGGGTCACGTGTGAGCTGAAGCTAATCCCAGCTGACTTCAGGTAAAAGGGAGAGTACACTCTTTACTGCCAGCCAATCACATGGCACAACTGTGACAACTAACCAATCACACCTCTGGAAAATTTCGAGTCGTTAATGAAACTAACACGCATGTGTTTGGAATCAGGAAAGAATACATGTGCAGCCCACTAGTCCACTGAGCTGTGAACAATTGCGAGTGTTTTCAGAGATATTGAACGAGGAAAAATTGGCCAAACAACAGTGTATATCTCAAGGCATCATAGTAGACTATATAATTTGTGACATTTTTGTTTGGTGGTGTGCCAGAGATTTTCCTTTTGTAAAATAAATGCCTTGGCTCAACGGTTGGGGAAACACAGTCCTAATTTACTGAAATGCGTCTGTTTATATAAACCAGTGAGTCATAATTTTTTGTGTACTAATGGAATTCTTACAGCAGACGACATCGGTGAGGTTCTCAAGCGTGTTCCTGAACCAGCGGGAAACGCTCACAAAGAGTTAACAAGCAATTGTGCTCATTGGCTGAAATGCAGTGATGCTGCTTAGTTAGCGTTTGGTCATATTCATCATCAACAGGCACCTGAGGACTTTGCTCTTTGACCACTTCAATGTGAAGTTCAGCAGGATCAAATGATACCACAACCCCCTCAAAATAGTCCCAACGGTAGTTCGGCCCTCCCGACAGCGACTCACTTGCGTCTGCTGAAAATGCTCTTTTTTCCTGAGTTCTTGTCGGTAGCACTGAGGCCAATGAGCAGCCGAGCTTTTTCGTCCTCCTCCTGCTGCTGCTGCAGGCCTGAGTCCGCCTTGCCGTCCAACGTCTTCCCGCGCGGGTCGGCGCCACCGGCGGCCGGTTTCAGGCGCAGCTTCTCCTTGATCATCTGAGATGAAGGAAGAAGATCAGGGCTTGTTGAAAAATTCACTAGAAGCACTAAAATAACATCTAATTAGATCTGAATCGTTTTCCTAAGTGGTGTGCCGTGAATCTTTTTCCGATGTGGAATATGTGCCTTGGTCTAATAAAGGTTTGTAAGCAACGAGTTGATTTCTTGCGTCAGTGTCTTGCTCTAGGTTGCCACCAACTTGGTAAGCCGCCATATGTCCACTAGTTGTGATGTAATGTTTTAACGTTGTTACTGGTTTTATTCTAGTAGGTTGCTACTCCCTGTTTTTGTTGTCTGTTTTTTTTTCTCCCAACATGAGGACTTTGTGGATGTGGATCTAGACTGCTACTGTATGGTTTGCATGTTCTTTAGCTAGTTGGCCAGCGGCATACTTGTGCAACCAGAGCCTTGCGGCTGTCTCTCTTCACGGCCATGGCAAAGTCCAACCACGTCCAGGTGTTGTTGTGGTACTCCAAGCATGGCAGCACCAGGTTGAGGTCCTTCCAGTCCACACTGCTTTTTTCTCCCTGAAGAAGATAATCAATGACATTGGCTCACACGTTTTTGTTCGGTGGTGTAAAAGTGGCTTGGAAACAAGGAGCCTTAAAGAGACAGGAGCATAGACTGTCAAGTCTAACAACTAGGGTGGGAAATTGACAAAACGTTCTTGGCTGATTAATTCTGCAATACAATTTATTTGAAATGATAATTTTCGAATACATTTTTCAGCAACGACCAAAACTTAGGTAGTTGTCAGTTTCATGTGGCTCTTTTGTTAATTGAATTTAGTTAATTTATAACTTGCAATGTAGGGAGTTGTATTTTATTTTGAAGTTACATTTTCGATTTCAGAGTGACTGCCCTCATTCAGAAATAAATGATAGGCTAATCTTTAAAATTATCTGACATCGGTTTAATAGAAACTTGACATGTTAAAAGGACTAATGGTATCAGATTCTGAGTATCAGGTATGTGAGTACTCAAGGGTTGAGTCTTCGTACTTAATTGGTCTGAAAAAAGTGGTATCGAAGATCGCTAGAAATCAGTTTCATACAATCGATACGCTCTAAACCTACATCTAGCCATCACTAATCACCTTATAGCTGACACAGAGAGGCACTTGAGGAATCTTGATGTAAATGAAGGAGTTGTTCATGGCCGCTCGCTCTTTCATCTTGTCAATGTCATCAACAGGATGCTGGTGAGGGAAAGAAGAAAGCACTCGTTTGAGGTTAATCCAGGCATTGTCAATTACAAACCAAATTCCAGTTGGTTGGGATGTTTACACATTGTTGTCAGTTTTTGATGAGGTGCCCGCCTGAGGGATCAAAGGTCACAGACATTCAATGTTGGTTTTCAGCCTTGCCGCTTACAGGCAGCAATTCAGGGAAGCTCCTTTTCTACCCAATCATGGTTTCCAGTTAGCCTGTTCACTTGAGGGACGTTCCAAACAGGTGTCTGATCAGCATTCCTCAACTTTCTCCATCTTTTTTGTCACTTGTCCGAGCTTTTTTGGAACATATTGCAATCATAGAATTCTAAGCTAATAATTATTTGTTAAAAACGCTGAGCAGTTTGAACATTAAATATCATGTCTTTGTTGTGTATTCAATTAAACATAAATTGAACATGATTTGCAAATGATTGCACTCTGTTTTTATTTATGTTAAACATAATGCCCCAACTTTATTGGAATGGGTTTGTAAAAGTATCAATACCTCAAGGGGTTTTCTGAACGACCTCCTAACACCAGCACTGCGGTTAATCCCCTGAGCAACACCTTTACCAGGGCCCATAGCACCCATGGTATCTTCGGAAGACTGACGATTCTTCACGGGGATACCTGCCATGTGGACGGTAGAGATAAAACAAATGAATGAATGAAAATCTTAGATTATCACAATCCAAAAGATAATTATCGTATTATCGTGATATTACAAAAGGAGAAAGAAATGTGACAAAAAGAAATTTTAGCTGTATATTTTGTTTACATTTTAATTTTGAATCCCCAAAATACAAAAGTGGTAAACCAATGTTCTTTTTCGTATAAAGAGGCATTGCTGGACTATTTGCACAATTCGAGCCTTTCAGTAATTTCAGTCTGTCTTGGCATTAGCATAAAAGCTGTGAAAAACATTAAAAAAAAAAAATAAATAAACAAACACACATCGGACTACTATGGAAACAGTGGTTTATGAATAGTTTTAAAATAATTGACAAAAATTCAATTCGATGCATGTAAAACCTTCCCTTCACTACAGGAATGAGTGGACACAGACTTTGGTTGTGGTTTTCTCCCTGGCAACCGCCTTCTTGTTGATATGAAAATACAAAACACACAAGACACAAACGTAAAAACAAACCTGTGGTGACCAGTCGGAACTTGTCCTCTTCGTCAGCCACCTCCTCTTCCTCGACGTTCCTCCCAGGGAAGAAAAATCCCATCATTCTCTTGAAGAAGTGGTACATGAGCTGGATGGTGAGAGGCACCACGTTCACCTAAAAATACGGGAGTGTTTTCATTGTCAATGTGGGGGATGAAACGATGATGAGGTTTGTGACTTTCTTCACCTCAAAGTGCTCCTTGACAGAGATCCCACCCACTGGGGGCCGCACTTTGCTGAAAATGCGCAAGGCAAACTGACGTCCTGATTGACAGGCGCTCTGAGGGCGAAGCACCACCTATTGGAAGAAGAGGTGTCATGAAAAAAAATATATATTACTACCATACCTTTGCCGGGTATTAATTCTAGGCCATTCTAACTGTGCTTGAGCCTATGTGACACCTAAAGTCTGGTACATTTGGTCACTGTGAGTGGTCAGATCCATTATTTTTTATCAGTTATTCATGATATTGGCCACCTTGCGTAATTTAAATACAATGACTTAAAATAACCTACAAGGTAAAAAAAAAAATCAATTGACTGACCAAACAGATGGCACAATGTGCATGTCACGAAATCAATTAAGGCTCTCCTTCCCAATTATGATAAGTGTAACCTAGCACGATAGAAATAAACAGAAGTACTAGAAATAATCTATAGTCAAAATAAAAGCTCCCGCCCTGGCACATGAATGTGTGCAATGTATGTGTCAGGATTAATGATAACCGCTAAGTGTGCACAATAGTAATGAATACAAGTAGAAATAATTCAGAGTAAAAAAATAAGTTCAAACATGGGCAAAGACATGAATGAAGCAATCACTCCTCTTGACAGGTACTCATGATAACTGCCAATTTGCACAATAGGAATAAATGGAAACCTACCACCCATAAAAATTGAAGATCTGTCAAATAACGTGCTCTGTCACGCACGAGCAGATGCATTGTAAGATTAGATTCATGCGACTGCGCCTCTCGCCAGTTATTCAGGATAACCTTCACCTTGCACAACAGAAATTA